TTCATTTGCCACAGAGCTCAGGCAACAGATGCCATCTGGGTGGAAAATGGACCAGCTCTCCCCTAGGAAATATTTCACAGGGATCAACAGAGACTGGTACAAAAGGGCCTTCCACAATGGGACACAAACTCTTCCCTTGCCCAAACACAGCCTCTGACACACCACCCACACCTCGCACACAAACTCCCACTCTGGGCTGCCTTCAGTCTCCAGGGACACCGGGGGCTCCAGCCCTTCATCATCCCCAAGGCTCTACTCTGCATCCCACCAACAGCTCCCTGCTTTCCTTCTCCTCAGGCTCCCAGAGCTGAACACACAACTCCAATCTCACCAGAAAGGAGCACAGGGGCACAATCCCCTCCCTCTCCCTGCTGCCCACACTGTGGCCATGAGCCCAGCACATGGGGGCTTTCTGGGCTGCCAGGGCACATTCCTGGCTCCCAGTCAGTTCTTCCCCCACCAATACCCTCCAGGCCTTCTCCACAGGGCTGCTCTCAAACCAGTCACCACCAGCCTGAAGCCCTGTTAGGGACTGACACAACCCACCACCTTTTGGCCTTTGTTAATTCCATGAGGATCACACAGGTCCTCCTTCCCAGCCTGTCCAGGCCCCTCTGGCTGCCATCCCTTCCCTCTCAACAACCAACCACAACACTCAGCTTGGTGTCATCCAGAGCTTGCACTTAAACCATGATCCTGATGGAAATGGTGGAGGTCAAACCTCCAGTGTGCAAGGTACAGAACATCAGCTCAGCCACAAAAGCACCTGGAGCAGATCCACCAGCAGCTGCTCTGCTCAGGCTCTGAGGCTTCTCCATAGGATTCAGGAACACCCAGAGTAGGACAGATGAGGAGAGAGAAGCACATTGAGCCTCCTCTGGTAATTACAGGTTTTCCTCTCACAAGAAAAAGATATTAAGATTTATGGCTTATAAGTTATGAAACCTTATGGTCTGAATGGTGAATGATGTTACAGACCAGCCTGGGAAAAAAGACACCAAGCCCAGGTTGCTGTTTGTTGCTTTTCTTAATGATGTCACAGACCATGGTTTCAATGAGAGAGTATCATGTCCTGTAAATGTGAGAGATCCCAAGGGACCATAACCCTGGGAATGAGGGCAGCCTGACCACATGCCAGTTCTCCAGGGAGTCACTGCTGCTCTTCCTCCACAAACCAAGCCAGGAGCTCTCTTTCAGCCCTCAGGAAGCGCTCCCAGGCACTGGCACCATGAGCAGCTGAAGGCAAGAGGAGCACAGTGGCCTCCCCAGCACATCAGGCAGCTCCCTTAGCATTCCTGGCTGCAGCACCTCAGGCCCTGAGGGCGCAGGGGCACCCAGTGACACAGCAAACCTTCCTCCAGGGCTTCCCCTTGCCCAGCAACACTCCCTGCTCACCTGACAAACCCCCTGCAAACTCTGCCCTGGGCTCCAGGGGGGCAGCTCTGCCTGGCAGGCTTTGGGGCCTCATCTTCACCAGGTCCCCACAAACCACAGCACACGAGGGACACGGGGTGGCCTCACTAATGGCACCACCAATTTCCTTGGCCTTTTTGTTTATTCAGCCCTCCCTGACACACATCCAACAGTCCAATCCTCTTAAATCCCAATTCATCAAAGCTGCCACCAAGGTCAGACAAGCACAGCCTCAAGGGCAGGACATGGAATCACACAACTCCACAAAACCACAGCATGTGAGTGACATCAGGTGACATCACAGAGGACACCCCACCTCTCCTAGGTGTTGTCTGCATCTGCCAAGTGCCCCCACAAGCACATTCCAGGCACAACCTCCCAAATACCAACTCTCCCTTCAAAGCTGCCACCACAAGGACACATCTGCAAGAGGAGGACACAGAAAGGGAGCACTGTGGAAAGGAAAACACACCCCACCTCACCCACTCAGCCCACAGCACACGAGGGCCATAAAATCACCTCACTGATGACATCACACCTCTCCTGGGCTCGGGTTGTTTCTTCAGTCCTCCCTGACACACATCCAACAATCCAACCCTCTGAAAAACCAACTCATCAAAGCTGCCTCCGAGGTCAGATGGACGCGGCCTCAAGGGAAGGACATAGAATCACAGAATTCCACAAAGGAGCATCCGCAAAATGACAGAAGAGGAGAGTGGAGCCCACTGACCATCAACTAGTAATTACAGTTTTTGCTCACAGGTACAGGATGTTACAACTTAGAAGTTATACATTAAGAAACCTCATGGCTTGAATGCAGAAGAAGGGAATGGAAATCCCAGACCAGCCTGGGCAAAAAGGGATCGAGCCCAGTTGGGTCTTTATTTCTTGAGGTCCTGAAGAAATGCAATAAACAAAGTTTAAATGAACAAGTACCTTATCATGAAAATTTCAGAAATCCAAGTGGACCATAGGAATGGAACGAGATCAGCCTGATTTCAGCCTGAGTAGCCTCAAGTTTTCCAGGTCCTCTATCTTGAACTACATCACGATATCAGGGGATCACCTCCCTTTCATCCCGCAAGAATTGCTCCAAAGGACCATGACCTTTCCAGGATGATAGAGAGTGACCTCCCCAGGACTCAGATGACTCCTTCAGAATTCCTGGGTGAGACGCAATGACTGATGGACATCCAGTCACACAGAACAAGAAGATCCACAATCCACAACACATCCACAAACCACAGCACACAAGGGCCACAAAATCACCTCACTGATGACATCACACCTCTCTTAAGTTCGGGTTGTTTCTTCAGCCCTCCCTGACACACATCCAACAATCCAACCCTCGCAAATCCCAACTCCTCAAAGCTGCCGCCAGCTGACAGTGCTGGGCCAAGGCTGTGCCGCCCCTGCGGGAGCAGCATAAAAGCCGGCCCAGCGCCTCTCTCCCTCACACCCTTCTCCTCCAGCCTTCTCCTGCCTTCTCTGCCCACAACCAGGTGAGCCTCCAGCCCCTCACAACCCCTTCCTGCTCCTGACACACTGCCCCCCTGGGCCCTCTCGGCCAGCACGCTCTGCCCCAGCCTCAGCAGCCCTCACGCCTCCCCACAGCCCCACACCAGCCTCCCCACTGCCCAGCCCTCCTGCAACACCGCCCCCAGCACCCCCAGCGCCCGCAGCTGCCTCACACCCCTCTCTGCTCTCCCCTTCTCTTCTCTTCTCTTGCCTGCCCTCCCAGGGCCCCTCCACACCACACCCATGGCCTGCTACGACCTCTGCCGCCCCTG